GGCAGCAATATGAGGGAGCATAATCCCAAGGTGACCCCTAAAAAGAGGCAGGGAAAAAGACCACAAGTAAAAGTTTGTCCCCTAAGGTTTCTGCTCATTCCCTGAGGATTAACAATCTTGCCCAAATAAAACCATGTCCCTTGAATGTAATTATAAAGTCACATAGTCTTGGAAAGACTAAAAAGATACATGAAGAGATATCATACCCCACCGCTGCAGAAATCCACAATTCTATCGCCAGGTTTGGCCTGATTTGTCACCACATACACAAGGTTGTTTAACTGTTGCTGCTTCCTCAATGCTCGATCACTGGACATTTTACCTGGAAAGACAAGAGGTGAAGAAAATGAAATGTGTATTCTGTGGGGTTGAGAAGACACTAGTAGAATAGACTACTAGCATGCAGGAAGAGGGGTGAATAGATAAAAAAACTACAAATTCTGTATAACCCACTAGGAGAAACTAGAGAACTGGAACTCAGAAATGAACTCTATTTTTACTTCAGTCTTTTAAAATTTTTTTATATATTTTTCTCTCTTTATTGATTAAGGTATTACATATGTGTCATTATCCCCCCATTGTTCTCTCACATCCCCCACTCATGCCCTCACCCCCCTGGTGTCTGTGTCCATTAGTTAGGCTTATATGCATGCATACAAGTCCTTTGGTTGATCTCTCCTCCTTACCCCCACCCTCCCCTGCCTACCCTCTGAGGTTTGACGGTCTGATCGATGCCTCTCTGCCTCTGGATCTGTTTTTGTTCATCAGTTTATGTTCATTATATTCCATAAATGAGTGAGATCATGTGATATTTATCTTTCTCTGACTGGCTTACTTCGCTTAGCATAATGCTCTCCAATCACACCTGTCAGAATGGTTATCATCAAATGACAAGTGCTGGTGAGTATGCAGAGAAAAAGGAACCCTTGTGCTCTGCTGGTGGGAATGCAGACTGGTGCAGCTACTGTGGAGAACAGTATGGAGTTTCCTCAAAAAACTAAAAATGGAACTCCCATTTGACCCAGTGATCCCACTTCTAGAAATATATCCCAAGAAACTAGAAACACCAATCAGAAAGGATATATGCACCCCTATGTTCATAGCAGCACAATTTACAATAGCTAAGATTTGGAAACAGCATAAGTGCCCATCAGCAGATGAGTGGATTAAAAACCTGTGGTACATCTACACAATGGAATACTATGCTGCGGTAAAAAAGAAGGAATTCTTACTTTAGTCTTATCCAACTTTTCTTTCAATACATAGTGGCAGAAAATCTATGAAAAAAGTGTTTTAAAGAAAGAACACAGAGGAGGAAACAAGATGGCGGCATAGGTACACACTTGTACTTGCTGCCTCACACAACCACATCAAAACTACAACTAAAAGACAAAACAGATATTATCCAGAACCACAGGAAGGCTGGCTGAGTGGAACTTCTACAACTAGAAGGAAAGAGAAAAGTGCATTGAGATGGGTAGGAGGTACGGAAGTGCTAAGGTACAGAGCCATGCGCGGAAACGGGCTGGCAACTGGATACGCTGTTGTCTTTTTCAATTGGGAGGGAGATACAAGCTCCCGATTGCTCTGAACTCTAGTTCCAGACCCAGACTCATATGGGGAGAAACTGGACTGTCTGGCATCGGGACAGGAACATGAGGGTGGCTTTCTCGCAGAGGTGCTTGCAGCGATCATTGTTCCTGCACAGGGCACGGGACACAGAGACCCGGGGACTTCTCAGAGGCAGGGCGGACTGGCAGCCATTGCTGTTTGCACCACCCCGTCATTCCCTGAGACCCATCCCCACCCAATTTACAACCCCACCCAAGCTGAGAGCAGAGGCTTTTGCATATGAATGGCCTATTCTTTTGCAATCTAAAACCTAACAAACTGCTGCTGGGTCAAAGTGCGCCAAAGCTTCCAAAAGATGGACTAAGGCTTGACAGAAGCCTTCATTGCTTCACAGCTGGGCCTCATCGGAGCACTTCCAAACCCCAAACAAAGAGGAGGAATCTGAAGATCTCTCTGTAGCTCCTGCTGGGTGGCCTCAGGCAGTGGGTGACTTTGCACCTCCTTGGACATCCAAGAGCCCATCTACCCAGTGGTCAGTGTGAGAACATACCAGAATACAACTCTTCATATCCATAAGCGACACACTTAAGGGGCAGACTCAGTGAGCAGCAAAGCCCCACTGAAGCAAGTCCTGCCCCATAAGGGTGTCTACAGCACAGAAGTTCTCCCACTGTAGACACAGCTGGTCCTCACAGCCAATTGCCCTGGTGGTCAATTCCTCCCAGTGATACCAACAGCAATCAAGGCTTAATTACAACAAGACTGTGCACACAGCCCACAAAGGGGTGCATCAAGAGCATCCACCTCAGGTGACTGGGGAGGCTGAGCCTGGGCACTATAGGACACCTAGCACACAAAGCCACTCTATTAACATAGGGAAGCATAAAAAATGCGGAGACAAAGAAACAGGTCACAAATGGCAGAAATGGAGGAAAGCAAACTACTGGATATAGAGTTCAAAACCACGGTTATAAGGTTACTCAAGAATCTTCTAGAAACCTCCCAGAAATATAGTGAGACCCTCAAGGATATGAAAAAGGACCGATTAGAAATTAAGCATACACTGACTGAAATAAAGAATAATATACAGAGATCCAACAGCAGACTAGAGGACCCCAAGAATCAAGTCAAAGATTTGAAATATGAAGAAGCAAAAAACACCCAACTGGAAAAGCAAAAAGAAAAAAGAATCCAAAAATATGAAGGTAGTGTAAGGAGCCTCTGGGACAACTTCAAGCGTACCAACATCTGAATTATGGGGGTGCCAGAAGAAGAGAGAGAGCAAGATATTGTTAACCTATTTGAAAAAATAATGACAGAAAACTTTCCCTACCTGGTGAAAGAAATAGACTTACAAGTCCAGGAAGCGCAAAGAACCCCAAACAAGAGGAATCCAAAGAGGACCACACCAAGACACATCATAATTAAAATGCCAAGGGCAAAAGACAAAGAGAGAATCTTAAAAGCAGCAAGAAAAAAAAACAGTTAGTTACCTACAAGGGAGTACCCATACGACTGTCAGCTGATTTCTCAACAGAAACTATGCAGGCTAGAAGGGAGTGTCAAGAAATATTCAAAGTGATGAATAGCAAGAACCTACAACCAAGATTACTCTACCCAGCAAAGCTATCATTTAGAATTGAAGGTCAGATAAAGAGCTTCACAGATAAGAAAAAGCTAAAGGAGTTCATCACCACCAAACCAGTATTATATGAAATGCTGAAGGGTATTCTTTAAGAAGAGGAAGAAGAAGAAAAAGGTAAAGATAAAAATTATGAACAACAAAGTGACAACAAATATATATCTATCAACAAGTGAATCTAAAAATCAAGTGAATAAAAAAATCTGATGAACAGAATAAACTGGTGAATAGAATAGAATCAGGGGCAATAGAAAGGGAGTGGACTAACAATTCTCAGAGGGGGGAGCGGGTGTGGGGGGTGAGGTAAGAGACTGAAAAAAATCGTACACCTATGGACGAGGACAGTGGGGGGGCGGGTAAGGGTAGGGGGTGGGTTGGGAACCGGGTGGAGGGGAGCTATGAGAGGTAAAAAGAGGAACAATTGTAATAATCTGAACAATAAAGATTTATTAATAATAAAAAAAACTAATGTTAAAATTAAAAAAAAGGAAAGAACACAACATGTGAAACATTAAGTTCAGGTCATAAACAAAGTACATGCTTTCTGGATTAATAACCATAGAGGCCTATTGTAAAAATTACCTAATTTCAGCACATTCTTAAATCTCCTTGGAGAAAGTAGATCTATAATAAATAAAACCTTTTTTTTTTTTTTTTTTGTAACTGGCCCATCCTTAAACTTGATTCTTCTGATTAGGACTCTTTAAACATAGGTGTCGCATTGTCTGAAATATGTCAATGGTTATTATATTTAGAGAGAAACTGGATTTTCCCCTTTCTGCTTCGAAGTGTTTTCCTCATGAGTCAGACACAGAAATTTAATGCAATTAGAGATTAGAGATAGGGTATTTCCAAGTATGAAATGCCTTGGGCCTAGCAGCATGAAAACATCTGAACTTTCAAAAGCCATTAGTCAAGCCCATGAATATATCTTCAGAAGAATGAATGAAATTACTTGTTTTTACAAGCTTCAAATGTACTTTTTAAAAAAATAAAAGCAAGATTAAGAAAATATAAGAGCATATTTCAGTGATATAGATTAAAAACCCAGATAATCTTTTTTGCTTGATCAAATATTATTTATAGACACCAAGGTTTCCCTGCTCCATTTTCACAGAAAAATAGTATGTTTTTTTTCTTCTCTTTTCTGTTTTTCTTCTTATGTGACTAAAGTAAAAACATTTGAAAACTTTTATTTTAGGAAAAAATAGAAAGCATGGATAAAAAAGATCTATATAAGAAAAAAAGATTTATAAGCTCATAATTCAGAGGTGATATATATATATATATATATATATATATAATCTCCTATATAAAAAGGCCTAATATGCTAAGTGTCCGACCATCCATTTGACCATCCAATCAATCGCTATGATGTGCACTGACCACCAGGGGGTAGACGCTCCACCAACTGGTAGGTTAGCTTGCTGCTGGGGTCTGGCTGATTGGGACTGGGTGAGACAGGCCAGACACACCCTGGTGACCTCCCGTGGTCCCTCCATGGCCCCAATTGTGCACCAGTGGAATCCCTCAGTCTGGCCTGCATCCTCTCGCAATCTGGTACCCCTAGGGATATGTCCACAGGCCAGGCTGAGGGACCCCACTCGTGCACATATCGTGCACCAGGCCTCTAGTGTGTATATATATGTTCTTCTAGTCATGTCCATAAATCCATCATTTTCTAGACAGCACATAAAATATTACAAATCTTTCCACATCTGTGCATTTATCTTTCTACTATACTAGAGGCCCGGTGCACGAAATTCGTGCATGGGGAGGGGGTGGGTCCCTCAGCCCAACCTGCACCCTCTCCAATCCAGGAGCACTCAGGGTATGTCCTACTGACGGCTTAAGCCCGCTCCCCATGGTTCTCTGCTCTCTAAGGGGCCTGCTGTCTGCTCTCTGCGGGGCCTGCTTGCCTGCTCGCTGCCGGCAGAGCTGAAAGGACTGGAAGACTCCAGCGGGACTAAGGGGACTGGGCGCAGCCATCTTGTGGCTATGGGCGCCGCCATATTTGTGAGGGTGTGATGGTCAATTTGCATATTCCCACTTTATTAGATAGGATGTTTTAATAGTTGCATAGTATTTCATTCAGTATATATACCATT